TTCTTACCCAACTGGGATTTTTGTGCTTTTTTTGGTGTGTTTTTAGGTACTAATATTCAAACGAACGAGGTGGTCGCAATTAAGTTGGTGGGTATTTCGTTAACTTGTGCTTCTTGGGTTGTTCATTATTATTATTTTTTTTAATTTTCAGATGATGCATGACAAATTAAGTGATGGGGTACTATTACTTGTTTTTCCTACTGAAGCAATTGCTTAGCTTGTCTTGAGACTCTGTAGTATAATGTGTTTTTTTAAGAGACAGCATGCATGAACTAAGCAGTTTTTAATGTCATCTATTGTGCTTGAAGAATGTCGAAACCATGAATTGTGATTATAATTACTTGGACATTGGTAACTAGGACTAGTTAGTGACTATGCAGTGTGAGTCAGTATGAATTTTCCTGCAAATTGTTATTTTACTCTTTCATTCTGATATTTGTGGATTTTATGTTTTTTTTTTTAATTATATTCCTCTTTGCATAGGCTCTCATAATATGTATGTTTCTCAGGAAAACGTTAAGACAAAGCATCCTCAATTGCTGTATGAATCAAAATTATATAAGATGCTACAGGGAGGAAGTAAGTGCTTTTTCCTTAGAATGGGTTCTAAGAAGCAAAGGAGTAGTATTTTTGATAATCTGATTGTTTTCCTGATTCAATTAATTGTGCGTCATACTGTGTCAATCTTTGGCAGCTGGAATTCCAAATGTTAAATGGTTTGGTATTGAAGGGGACTACAATGTCCTTGTTATGGATTTACTGGGGCCTAGCCTCGAGGATTTATTCAACTTCTGCCGTAGGAAGTTGTCACTGAAGACTGTTCTTATGCTTGCAGACCAGATGGTGGAATTTTTCTCATTGCTCATATTTCTGATTTATACAAATTATGGTTTCATTTTTTTTTCCCTGAAATCATGTATTTGCTATCAGTTAAATAGGATTGAATTTGTTCATTCCAAGTTATTTCTACATCGAGATATCAAACCAGACAACTTTCTGATGGGCTTAGGACAGCATGTGAATGGGGTATGCTTTTTTGTTTTTGAAACATGTTATTTGTTTCTGTTCTTTGGCACATTTTTTTTTTTTTTTAATTGTCAGTTGATTTTTACTTCAATGTAGGTCTACATCATTGATTTTGGTCTGGCTAAGAAGTATAGAGATACCACAACACAACAGCATATTCCTTATAGGTCAGTCTTTGGAATAATTTATCGTCGTCCACAGATGTAATGGTTTTTTTATTATTATTGTTTTGTTGTTCTTTTTCTCTAATCTTCTCTTGCTACCTCTATAGCTTCTAGATCTAGTGTTTCTTATATATTTTGATCTTTATCTTAAATCTGTCACATGCTTGATGTTTTCATTACAGAGAAAATAAGAATTTAACAGGAACCGCAAGATATGCAAGCATGAACACTCACCTTGGTATTGGTATGACAATTATGTCTCCTGTTTTTCACTCTTTTCTGTTTTGTAATTTGTATTTGATTTACCATTATTTCTTACTAGTTTGGACTGCTAACACTTTTCTTTTTTGCTGCATGTAGAACAAAGCCGGAGGGATGATTTAGAGTCACTTGGATACGTTTTTATGTACTTCTTAAGGGGAAGGTAACTATACCTAACCCACCACCTTATATCACATTATTCTCCTGCCACCTGATATCTTTAGGTACAACCCTTTTGTCTTTGTAGCCTTCCCTGGCAGGGTCTGAAAGCTGGAACAAAGAAGCAAAAGTATGAGAAGATTTGTGAAAAGAAAGTATCAACTTCTATTGAGGTAAATAGCCGATTAAAGCTTTCTGATGATATCTATACCTTTCAGCAGAATAAGCTGACATGAATACTCCCTCCTTCCTCCTCTTTAGGTGCTGTGTCAAGGTTATCCTACAGAATTTGCATCCTACTTCCATTATTGTCGGGCACTTTGTTTTGATGAAAAACCAGATTATGCTTATCTTAGGCGCCTATTTCATGACCTTTTTATTCGTGAAGGTTTGAACATTACTAGCTGCTGTTCCTTCTCTCTGTAGAAGATTTTTTTGTGGTGAATGAATTGTGATTATTGTTTTGTTCTTTGGCCCTTGAAGCAAATCGTCAATATGCTTAAACTCGTAGATTTGTATATTGTCTTCCAAAGGTTTCCAGTTTGATGATGTGTTTGATTGGACAATGAAGTTTTGGCAATCAAAAAATTCCAATCTGCCTCCCCATGCACTTGTAAGTGATTTAACCTAAGTATGTGTCTCTTGCTTTGTGCCTAACACCTTTTCAAGTAGTTGAATAGGTATTTCTCTTTTTTAAACAGGGTGCTGGACCAAGTTCTGGCATTCCTCTTGCAGGTGCTGTTGTGGATAGGCAATCAGGTAGCATTTGTCACATTACTTTTGATTTTGTGCTAGTTTTTTGATTGTTATGTTTGCATTGGTTGTGGCAGCTGGCCTATGTGGCCATGGTCACACAGGCTGCCTGCGCTTCGTCCTTCATGCTGTTTACACTTTGTCATTGTGCTATACCGTGCATACATTCAGAAGGAGGGTATCCTAAAATTGAGCTATTTAGAGAAAACTTCCATATGATTAGAATGAGGGTACACGCCTTGTGTCTTTTCAATTGTCTCATGGAGAAGATATAATTAAATGTCAGTTGATATATAATTATATATATTGAGTATTCTAGCATTATTTTCTTCAAAGAAACATGGGAAATAAGAGACAAAATGTTGTAATACTGATTTCCTTTTCTTTTTTCTTTGCAACAGGTGGAGAAGAAGGTAGACCTACTGGTTTTTCATCAATCCTTTCAACTCGTAGAACTTACTCTGGACCAACTGTAAATTCTGGAATCTTAGCTAAAGAAAAAGGTCCAGTGGCAAACGATCCACCTCTTGGTAAAGATGCTATGGTGAGTAGAGTGATTATCCCATTGCATTTACTTCCTGGCAATGCTATTGCATATAAACTGATTTCAGACTGCCTCATCACCACTGAAGTTTTAATATTAATTTTAAATTATGTCATAGCAAGGACCACATACCGTCGATTAATGTTGTAGCTACTAGTATTGGTGCTGGTATGTATACTTATATTTGGTTCGTTCAGTTTCTGAAGACCAGTAAATTTGGTAGAAGCCATTGGTTTTAAAAGAATTCTTGGCAGTTTTTGCTTTTCTAGTAAATCTGCAGTCTGTTCTGCTATCTGATTCTCCCCTCCTAATTCCCATGCTTTTGCTGTCTTATTATTTGGATTGCATATCTGTAATGTGTACTCTGACTTGTGCAGTTATCCAGTTCCAGCTTTTTGAGGAATATTGGATCTTCAAGGCAAGCTGCTGCCTCTAGCAGTGCAGCAATAATGGGAACTAATTCAGACCCCCATCTTCCTTACATCTCTGATACTAGTGGGCAAAGAACCTCACCTGTACCATCATCAGACAACAGGCACTTGTCTTCAAGTAGAAACACATCAAACATAAAGAACTTTGAGTCCACTCTTAGGGGCATTGAAAGCCTGCATTTCAGTAATGACAAGAGGTTACACTATTAGCAGACAATGACCTTAAATTCTTGTCTCCTGTATATTTTACAAAGGTATGCTTTTTTATCCCCTCAGAGTGGAATATGTTTGTGTTGTGTTTATAGAGAAGTCCTAAGTCTGAAAAGTTAACTACAACTCTGGAAGTTGGGGGAACTGAAACCTTACTGTAAGTGCTAACAAGGAGATACTGGAAGAATTAGATCCCCAACAAAATCAACCTAGGTCCAGTGATTTTATTGTAAGTACCTAGGTAGACCGGTTTCTATCAAAATACAGTTTTACATGCCTTTCTTATTCACAGTTAATTCCCTTATATCATGTACAGCATCATGTTAATGCTCAATTAATAGTTCAAAACTATGTAAGCTCAAAATCATTTTCAATGGGCTCTTGCATTGTAATTGTGATTGGTTGCTGTGTTGCCTACTTTCTTTTGATTTCTTCGTGTTTTACTACGTGACTGAAGGATTCAGAATCAGGATTCAAGGGACTTCACAGTTACTACGGTTATATAGATTGTTTTTTGTTGTCAAAGATGAATGATGTCCATGTAGCGTATGCATTATTAACCAAAAGAAAATTTGTAGCATTATTAGGAAATTGATTATTAAAGGGATGGAAAGGAGCTAGTTGAGATTGAATTGAAACGCAGGACTTTTGCATAGGAAAATTTCCTTGTAACATAAAACAACAACGATTTTAGAAAAATACTACTTATTTTATTAGCCCAAATGTGATTTATTATATATTGCTATAAATAAGTCGAGTCCAGTAAAATATTGCTAAAACTCGTTTATTATGCTTAATGGATGAGCTAAGCTCAGCTTCTTGAGTAATTTTCTAGGCCTACAACCCTCATTTATACATTCACAAGACATATTCATGTTACAAAAACCTTTTGCCGGTTCATGAGTAGGAGGAACATACAGTTTAAGAAGTGCTTTGCAATGAGAATATGGGATAGAAGATCGATATTTTATTGCCTTCTCAAGTTTTTCTTGCAAGAACAGCAATGAGGGAATTGCTTTCCGCAAACTTGAATAAAATACATAAGCATGATGTTCCTAGAAACCAGAAGCTTTCCACTTTCTGAACTCTTCGGACATTTTGCACATGGACTCCGGAAATTGTCGTCTGTGCTTCTACCACTTCCCGGTTCTGTGCCTCATGCAGAGATCAAACACTTTAACTATATACAAAAAATACCTATCCGCAATCATCTTCACAGGGTATGCGGCTTTTGCGGCAAGGTGTGTTGTGTGTTTGTACAACTTCACCCAGGAAAAGCCAGAAGCAAATGGTTGTGATCCTGGACGTGTAGATTTAATTTACCCCGAAAAAAGAATTTGCTAAATACCATGTTGGACTTGAAAGAAATCGAGCAGGACCATGTTTATTTCTTGTGGTTTCTGATTTTGTTGTTCATCAGCTGCAAATTACCTCCACAGAGAGTTTCTTCATGACATTAGGACAAGGATCTCCACCAAACATTTCTGGTGCTACAGTCACTGAGCAAAAGTTTTGGCCAACACAAAGCTGCAGCAACACAAAACGTTCAGAGTTTGTGAAGAGATTCATACAAATGAATGAGTGTAATTGAAACAGAATTGGCTGCAGAATTCTAAGTTTTTTTACTAGAAAGGGGGATGGAATAAACAAAGCAACTGCATCTTACCCTTTGGAAGGCATCATAGGAGTGAAAAGCATGACAGCTGCCTTGACGGTAGCTTCCACAGGTGCCTTCTGGTGTTCCAAAACTAGCAAACTTTACAGATGAGATTTTCTGCTCAGGGCCACATTCTAAATGGACCTTTGGCCTGAGCGGTTTGTTGACTTTACCAGAGGCTTGCATCCGGTAATTCATGAGGTTAGGCTGCCACTCAAAGATGTCAGCGCATACACTGTCTACTTCTCTTCTAACCAAAGAAATTCCATTCGGGTCTCCACCCCATTCTTCAAACACAACCAACAAATTACCGCTTGGTTTGAGCCATGAACGAGGAACATGATACCTAAAGATAATTGTTAACCAAGAGTCAGTCAAGGATTCTGTGAAGCAAAACAAACTACAGAGTAGACTACTTTATCTCTTACCATCTTTGAGAAGCCTCTCCACAATTACTTCTACATTTGTTCTCATCATATGTTCCGGCATAGTTACAGCCACCACAGGAACCTGATGCTTTGTATGCAGGCCAGTAGCGTCCTATGCTCTGCCCATTTATCCATACTTGGCCTTTACCCATACTTCCCACGTCTAAAGCCACTGGAGAATTACCAGCAGGAGCGTTGAATGTTGTCTGCAAAATGACCAATAAAACATCAATGGATGCTGCTTAAAGGTCTATCTGGATGCATTTCATTTGTAAAATGTTTCACCAGGAAATATGTTGTAGAGACTAAAAACAAATTTGGGTTCTTTTTCAATTAATATTGTCCACAGATTGAGAATTAGCTAGTCATTTGTAGCGCTCACTTTGTACCAAGTCAGCGGCTGCCTTAGGGCCACTAAGGACCCCTCAGCCCACTCAACTGAGGAAGTACCACTTAGTGAATGAAGATTCAAAGCTTCTCCTTTGAGACCAACCTGCAAATAGATGCATAATTAAGTAGCTTCTAATATATGGAAGAAACATGAGAAAGAAATCGGTACCGTGTTAGTCAAACCTTGTAAGACCATTTTTGCCATGAAAGGTCTCTCCTTCCCTCATTGAGACCATTCAGCGTAACTGGACCAAGAATACCAGCATTCCATGTCTCAAAATGTGGACCAACATTCTGCACTCAAATCATGGCAACCATGAGAAATGGTATAGGAGTTGTAAGACAGTGGCTGTTTTTGTCTACAAAGATAGAGAGAACAAACCGGGAGGCCAACAGCAATGCTTAGAAGTGAAATTGTGTTGATACCAGCCCTCAAATTAACACCTTGACTAAGTGTTATTTTGGGGAATTCTAGACTTCCATATGCAGTCCCTGCAAAATATAATTAGGAAAAAATAGAGAATCATATTAAGGGAAATTGAGATAGAGAAAAATGAAATACAAACCCATTCAAGTAAACAGGCAGCATTATAAATATACATATCTGGCTACCTATCTTATGTTGACTAAAAGCAAGATCAATGATGCACAAATTACTTCATCCTCCAGTTTACTAACTCCTGCGTAAACTCACTAGGACTGAACCATAAAGGAAAAGATACCAGGTTCCTGGCAAACATCTTCTTACACATACACATACACAAAAGGCATAGAATAGGCATAATTTTATATCAAACATCTGGAGCATGAAGTCATAACTCATAAGTACCAAAAAATTAATATCAACATTATGGGGCACAATTAAACATTTTGATGATCAATAGTTTGTTTGAACTTTGAAGACATTTTGAAAGTAATGATAAGCCACCTGCTAGTTGACCATTGACAAAAATATGCAAAGCATGGCCAGCAGACAAGACAGTAAGAACAGGATATACTCCAGTCTTCAAGAATCCTTCACTGGGATCAATCTTGACACTGGGAAAGCAAAATGTCATAAATATAGAAATCAAGAAAGAATACAAAGATATGGGGTTACACACCAAGATATATTACTCACTCTGTTGTGTACCACAAATAGTCAGAGACATCTCTGGTTGTGTTTATCTGCTCCAACAACCCAACCACTGTGAATGAACTGTCACTTTCTGAAGTTGTCTCTTCGCTGTATGCTTGCCAAGAGAACTCTCCATGGGTAGGAACGGTAGCCATTTTCATCCGTGAAATTTGTGCACCTACCTGTTAGGGAATTTTGATATTGATGTAAAAGATCTATTAATTGCACAACTTTAAGTAGCAGAAGTCTTTGGCAGTAATTTGATCAGCCCCACCACCTCCTCACCCCCACCCCCTCAAGCATTCAAAAGATTGGATGGAGAGAGCAAATGGAGATGTAAGGGGGCTACCTTGAGACCATCTAGATGTTAACAGAAACTATTTAAAATATATATTTGTTACTGAAATTTAGAAAAGGAAAATTTTGAATTTAGCAAAAATCTTTCTCACCCTAGCAGTGTTGTAGACTGTGTTCTTGCAATCAGGAAGAATGCTGATAGACCAAGGAGGCAGATTATAGTGCATATTCCCAAATGCGACTTTTGCAAAAGATGTTGGGTTGTAGTTGGCAAGAAAGGCAGCACAAGCTCCAGATTTTGACTTGAATACATGAGCCTGTATCATAAGAATGAAATTTAGTGTATGGTTGTGAATAGGATAGAGGGTATAAAGAAGCAAAACAATAACAAACCTCTTGATAATTGCCGAGTGGCATCACCATGGGATCTCCAGATACTAAAGCTGGTTCACAGAGCTTTATTGCTCTATGCAGGTCCTTCAAATGACCCCATTTAGGTTGCCTCAACAGTCCTGCATCACATAAGGAGTTATCATTCTTCAAATTTTACAACAATAATCCCTCCACTCTCATATACATAAAGACTTCAAAGATGACTCTTTGTGCCTACCATATTCATCAAGAGGAGCATTATAGTCATAACTAGTAGCAATGAAAGGACCACCAGCAGTTCGGCCAAAATTTGTTCCTCCATGATACTGAAAGCACAGCAAAGCAAAATAAGGCTCACTCTTCCAGGGACTCAACTCACTTAATCAAATGAATAAACTGTTTAATTACCATATAATAATTAACAAATGACCCCCCTTTCTGTATAAACCTTGCAACTGAAAATGCCAAGTCTTCAGCAGGGCGGTAAGGAACTGCACCTCCAAATTCAGTATACCTAACACAGCGAAATAAAAGAATAAGCAACCAGGAAAGACCATGTGCCTTGTTCTGAAGTTCTAGTTCCTTGGTTCAAGATTGAGACACATAAAATGGTTAAACTGAAGCTAGGTAATCAAATTTACCAGCCAGTCCAGGCTTCTGTCCACATCTTGGGTTTGTATGCCTTGTTTGGAGAAAAGTAGTCACAGTAGAAACCATTGCAGGTGTTAATCTGTCAGAGGGAAATAGAAGTTAAAAAATAAAATAAAATCACTCAAAATTGCACGGTTTCAAAGAATAGATCACCCAGCACAGAAACATAAAGATAAGACTAAGTGATTCCAATAGCCAAAGGTTTTCTAAACAATCAGGTTGTAATTTACAAACAAACTATATTTTGCCACCTTCAAGC